CACTGAATGGGCTTAGAGGATGCGAAAAGTCTACCAGTCACAGAATCACAGAATGTTAGGCGTTGGAAAGGACCTCAAAAGATCATCCTAGTCCAAATCCCAATGTTGGACCTCTGTCTCTAATTGCATCCTTGCCTCAGCTGTCATGAAGGCACCTGAAATCGGGCATTTTGGACAGTGAAGCAGTATCAGAATTACAGGTGATCAGCTCCCCAGAGTTCCTGATGAGGAAGTAGAAGGAATCACAAAAAAAAAAAATCTCTCAACCCCTCCGAAAACTAGAAGTATTTGGATACTTGGGCAAAGTTTATACAAAACCAGAAACATGTTAGAGTCATTAGCAGGATGCACTGAAGTACAATAATGGAGCCCAGGTTCTGAGCTAAAAAGCTGTGTGTGGCTCAGCCCTGCTACTGCTGGTCCTGTTGACGTCAAAGAGCAAACAGGAGTCCTCTGAAATGGCTGCAGAGACTCCGTGGTACTGCAGCTCCCTCTCTCAGAGTAGCTTCACAGCTCTTCTGTCTCTGCTGGCTAGCAAGCGTCTCCTGTAAGCCAAGTAGCCAGCCCTGCATGCCTGATTCATCCTCTTGCAGTTTATTCAGCCTTCCAAATGACCCTGTGTCCTCTGCTCAGACTAATTAGTTAAGTCCAGCTGTGGCTACAAAGGACAAACCTTTCATGACTTTCTGAAAACTCTCCTGTTTGAAAGGTTTGAATAATCTGAAGGAAAAAAAGTAAGTTACTGCATTAAATTTCATATAAGTTCTTCTTTAAAATAAGCTACTGTTGTAGCTCATTGTCTAGGATATAGTTGTAGAACTGCCTTTTTGCTTTGAAATAACTTTGTATCTGCTGGCTGGGTGACAATGAGGTTTTCGCTCCCGTTGCCTCAGAATCCTGTTCTGCTGGAGGTAGACACAGGCTGCAGGCAGAAGGTCACAGATCTGGCTTCCACACCCCACTGAGCTATTCAGTGAAAAACTGGCCACGTTGCAGAACCATTTTGGGTCAAATCCATGGGTGTGGAGACATCATTTACAAATACCAGAGTCCTTCTCTGAAAGAACTGTAATCCTGATTTATCAGAGCCGAGCTTCCCTTTAGATAGCTACGGTTGCTGTTTTGGGTTTCTTAGAGCTGTGAACTGAGATAGTGCTGGAACATCTCCGTAGCCATAGGCACTGAAATTTTGCAAGTAATGCTTTTTCGTGGTACCTGACTGCAATTTCCACAGCTAATGGAGACGTGTAAATGGGAAGGATATAACTTAGCTCCAGAGAAGCAGCTTCTAAGGAGAGCAGCCTCTAAGGAGACAATCTCTAAGGAGAGCAGCCTCTAAGGGTATAACTTAGCTCCAGAGAAGAAGATTGGAGTCTTCTGTCAAACTAGACAATTTGGCAGGAATTTAACTAATACTCCTTTATGTTTAGGAAAATAAATCTATAGATGTTTTTGCCTTACAACAAGTAAGACCAAGCTATCATCCAGTCCAGCAATAAAGGTCCAAAACAGAGCTGGCATAACAGCTAACGTAGCAGATTACATTTCCTCCTGCCCATAGCGGAGGAGAAAGACAGCATGTAAGCTAAGCAGGTTTGTAGCAGTGAACCCTGTCAATGCAATGACATCTGTCTCTCCATGCTGTTTAAAGAACATACATAAACATTGCCCTCCCATCCTCTGTCCATGTTGCCGCTCTTCTCTCCATTCTGTCCTTACCAGTAGCCACGTCTTCCATCCTGCATATCCCAAGCAGCAGTGTGCAGACTTGATATTAGCAAAGATTTGTTAGAACTGTCCATGGTGTCCCTAGTTGCTATACTTTGGCCAACAGGGTAGCGGTGAGAAATGCCCTATTTTGATAGCAATGAATTTAGAATTTGTTTCAAACTAGTTATTGTTCCCTCTGCTTCCTTGCCATGGATCTATCTGATACGGCCTTTGGTAATACATCAAGTGTGGATTGTTTTTACCAACCAGAGGTTTTCCCAAAGAAGTACAGACAGGCTAACATCTAAAATAATGGTCGTTAATAATTGTTTTAGAAAATTTAATGTACTTAGGAGCACTAGTGCCACACGCTTGGGTCACCACTACAAATTCCTCTTTGCTTCCTCCAATGCAATGGATGCATGGATGAGCGTACAGCAAAGGGAATCTGCATTGTTCCATCAGGAATAAGAGCATCAGACACAGAAGAGAGAAATGGGATTAGTGCCTTAGTGAGTGTAGGCTTTATGAAGCCTGCAATGCGTTATAAAAGACATGTCCAAAAATTAGAATATTTTAGCAAAAGATCTACTTATATTTCTGTTACTATCAATGTTTAGATTCCTACTTGCTGGTTTTGGCCCCATATTTATGATGTTCCATGCTAGCATACCTTGAAAATATTTTCTTTTCACTCTTAAGTTACTAGAAATTATTAATAAACTGCTATGTTAGAGTTTAAGATAAGAAAACAGGAGAGAATTTGAGTAAGCACATGCTCCTAATATCTGGGAGAAAGGAAAAAATGCAAGGAATAGTGAAAAAAGCACTGTTAGGAGCAAGCAGTTCCCAAAGCCCAGAAACTTAAGAAGCCAGGTTTTTAAGGCGTTTCTGCGTCACAGACGACTGACTAGTAAAAATGAATTATAGAAAAGCTGTGGTGTGAATTCCCCAGGATTAGACATGGAAATGGAGAATGAATTCAACTGAGGATGAAAAACCTTCAGCTGGAGTTCATGTCCCTTCATGTAACTCGGAGAATCTAATTTTTTGAGGAAGTAAGGGAACTTGTCTCCCATGTGGATCCTCTGATAGGTCAGCAGAGCTGAACTTATTTTACATTATTTGCTCCCTCCTACGCAGGTGTCTTTCTACAGTATGTGCAGGAATGTCATGGTTTTAATACCATAACCTCCCTCCCTCTTTAACTCAAATTGGACAAAATCCAAAAGGTATTAGGAGTACTGGCAGGACACATGTACTCGCACTTATGCACGTATGGTGTGTGTGAAGAAGTCGTGATTCTTTAGTAAGACAAGGTAAAGTCTACAGAAATTTCATGTGAATTAGCACATTCTCCCTATAATGATGTGGAGGAAAAGAAGCCCCAGCTTTCAGTGTAGCTCAGTATAGCCCTGATCTGTATCACACACTTCATCAGACCTGGAAAACTGCCTGCAGTTCTGGGCAACAAACTAAAAGCTTGACTTATCTCTTGTTTTTATTATACAATAAATTATAGAACTTACTGCTCTGTTCTCCATTTATACAGTATGGAGTGAAAGCTGGTGAATCGACTGGTGAGTGGACTGAAAAACTGTTGTTTAGGTCCCTTACAGAGAAAATCCTGCCATGTCAGATTGATTGGACAGGAATTTATGTATATTTGTGCTTGGAAGACCAGCAAAAATGATTTCCATAGTCTTGAGGAAACACCCTTTTATTGTAGAGAAGTTTGTATACACAGATGTGATGTATTTACAACCAGCTTTTTTCAAAGAGATGACTGTTTAAAATCCTTCACAAATCTGTCAAGAATGAAAGAAAATGAAGCTCAGAAGCCCAGCCAGCCAGCCCAATCCCCAAATTCAGATTAATTCCCGAAGATAACTGTAATCAGATAATAATACATGGACCGATTCTGAAGGAAGCAATAGGAGTGTGACAGAGATCAATGGATGGACTTCAGGATTGGTTCAGTCAAAAGCACTGCTTAGTTTGATCTCAGAGTAGAAGAACCCCAAAGTAAAATTCCAACAAGGAGATGGGAACTTGCCTTTTCCCAAGGTTGTGGAAGAGACAGGCAAAAAGAGTCTGGCCCTTCCTTCCCTGGCCTCTGCAAGAACAGGTCACAGTGGCAACCTCTGTGAAAAGAAGTTGTTTGTCCTGTGTTCTCCTGGAAAGCTCTTTTCCAGAAAAAGGCAGGAAAAGCTCCACTCTTCTTCAGTCTGCAGAATGGAGTCAGTGCACTGAGGGTGAGAATGGGTGTCCTCCTTAAGGAAGGGTGTGCACTCACATGCCAGCTCAGTCACAGGAGAGATGGCACCTTGGTTTCTTCTGATGCCCCTTCAAACTGTGGCTCAGCTCTGCACTGCCCTTTACCTGGGGTGGTGTGCAATGGCATCAGTTTAGCTTCAGCCTGTTCAATCACCCCAAATGCAGAGGAGACAACACAGGGGGAAATGATGAGAGGTAGAGACACACATTATATTCCCTTTTCCTGTTCTTCTTCAATTAAAAGTAGAACCTTCATCAGCAACAAAAAGTTACATGTGCAGGAGGCACTTCTCTGGGGAAGAAATAAATACCTCACACAAGCATTCATGAATGGATGAGTCCCATGAGAAACATTCTCAACACAACCAGTTCAGTCATAAAAGGAATCTAAAATCCCCACATTGATATATATGAGAAACACGCAAAACATATCTGCTAATGCTCAAGGAAGTTACATGCATAAGTTTCCCATAGGTTGGGAATATATATCTCAGAATCTGCATAATTTAGTTCACACTCAGCAGAACATCGCGATATTTACAGGCACATTCCAATGGGAAAACATTTGCATATTGAGTGCGAAAGATGCAGCTTTGTCACCTAACCATGGGACTTTAAAGGCAGGGATTTTGTGACCTCAAAATACTATTTGTGAAGTTGGTGGGGAGGAAAAAGGTGTGTAGGCAGGAAAAGAAAATTACTAGAAATTGGTAAGAACTCTTTTTTTTTTCAGTGTTAGAATGGTTGCAAGCTAGGACAAAGTGAGTCTGTGTAGACCGCAGGTTCTGTCTTTTACATGTCACAGAATGCTTCGTCTACTGTCATTTCCCATGCTTATTCTTCCCAATTAAATTTGTTTCCCATTAGCCAGGTTGATGAGAATACTGCATAAGACTCATTCTTCTTGCGATCATTATCCTTCATAGCATAAAAACATAATAAATTCTTGCAGAACAGGAATGAAGTGGAATGTCACTTTTTTTGGACTTGGTCTGTATTCAAAAGGTGAAAGCGGGCATCTGAGAAACACACTTGTAATGCTTTGGAAGTTTTACAAATAAAAAAAATAAAGTTATATTCTGAACCTGATGAAGAATTCCAAGTTCTATGTTCTCTAGCACTGCATGTCAGACACGGTGGAAAAAGCTATTCAGTGACTACTGTAACCTTAGTGCTACCCAGAATTGTTCTGAAACCAGTTCACTAGTTTCTGAAACACTACTGTAGCTACAGCAAATTATTAAAACTATCTACAGAATTTTAATCATACAATTCAGGTTTCAATATGTCAGCAAAACAGCAATATATAACCCTTAGAGGTTATATTCTGGAAGTGAAATTGTCAAACTATTGCTCCAATGTCTGAAAAGTAAAGCTATCCTCCCTAGGTACACGGCACTCTCTCACTTATGCTGACACATAAGGTGGTGGTGGATCTTTAGCAGCTCCATTCACAGGCTCATCATATGGTGGCAACAGGACCTGCAGGGAAAGAAAAAAAAAGTTATATTTTTTAAAAAGAAGCCAGCTGATAAAATTTACAGGAAAGAAAATGTTTAAGGCCTTGTCCTAAAAAATAACAAAAAAGAGTAAATTAGTGAGCAGGACCAGAATAGCTAGAAAATGAAAGAGTACTAACTTGAAGTTCCTCCTTTTCAATTTGTGTGCTTGTTTTCATTACGAAGGAAAACATGATTTCTTCTCATTTCTTATTGACTCCAGTGAAAGCTCGATTTCAGCCAAAGATCATTCATTGCTAGTACCTGAATTTGTTCAATCTGTCAGTGAGAGCAGCTGGTTATTCTGCAGCTCTCCTCTGTCAAAAGCGCTTAAACCATGCCTCCTGGAGGAATGCTCAGTGCTAAGCCAGGGAGGGAAAAGTCCCCAAAACCTCTCTTTCTGAGACTAGCTAATAATGATTTTGGGGTGGGGAGAAAGAAAGCAAATGGAGAAAAAATCACCCAATGTCAAAATGAATCTCCAGATTTGTGCTTCTGGGGCACTCAGCTGTGAGAAGGAAGACCTACATTCCCATAAGGCCTTCAGTGAACGCTTAAACAGCTGATAGCAATTAGGACAGCTTTAATCATATATCATCCCCGTTCACAGCAGCCCAGGCACCTTCCTAGGACATGGGAGATACAAGTTCAGGCCACGCAGGGCAGAGGAGGGATTTGAACCAAAATTTCTACTTCTTTAAGCACGCATGCTAGCTATCATGCAATTTTTAATGGCATCAGCACTGATGTTAATTAGCTTGCATGTGAAAAGGCCAAGGAGCTCTTGGCCTGTGAATCCCAGCAGGGACTGAGGATAAAATAGATGTCTGAATGAAGAATGAGTATATGTTCCCTAAAATATCTCAATATCGTGTAAGAATATCAGTTGTAGTGCACTGGCAGAGATACTTTATGCAGCTGAAGATCAATTATTCATGATGGAATTTCTAGATTTATCAGCATTACTTCTTGGCCATTAAAGAGCACACAAAGCTGATTGATTGTCTAAACATACATAGGGAAAATCCTGGTCTCGATAAAGTCAATGGAAGTTTTGCCATGAGAGAATTTTACCGGTTCTTAAAGAAGTTGATAACCTGCCTTCTGCAAATAAACTTCCATAATCATCCCCTTTGGACCTCATCCACAACATAAAAAAATCAGTGGGAATCTTTCTGTAGATTTAAACAGATTTTGGATCAGGCTTTTGTGGGATAGTTCCAAGGGTGATTCACATTATACTTATGTAATTTACAGACATGCATAGATGACCATGTGTTCAAGTACATCTGTGCACATGTTTGTTAGGTTACAGAACGGACATCTTGGCATCTTCAGCCTTTCATCAACACAGTTTCATTATTTAGGAAAGGAAATTGTCAGAGCTATCGCTCTTTATGAATACCATATGTTTGAGCTGGTAAATGCAATATACTATGCACATAGCCACTACATAATCTAAAAAGCCTTGTATCAAAAAGCGTTTAATAAATTGTGTCAACTTTAAAGGGCGCAAACAGCTTATGGCAGACTTCTTATCTAGTGAAATTAGGACAACATATAGAACTTCAAATAAATATTGTGATAAAAATAATAAATATATTTTGCAATGCAACTTCAGTAATTCACACCACTAAAGCATCTAAACTGTGAAAAAAGCTACAGTTGTGATCCTCTCCTTAGTGCTGATCATTAGTTTAATAACAGGGTTTCTAGTAAAATCCTTGTGTTACTCAAAAAGGCACTAGTTTCTCAAATGTACTGAAACTTGTTCATTAGTTGATTATGAAGCAATATAATTAGTAATTAAATCCGATCTACATATGACTCTGAAAATGAATCAAGTTGGCTTTGTGGAGATTTAACCGTCTTACTGCACCCTTGTAATGCTAAGCCCCAAACTGTGGTCCCTTCCTTTCAGGTTCAGAGTCCATTTAATCAGGCATGATAAGAAATGACAGCGGACACAATCTAAAAAGCTGTCCATCTTCCAGGTCTACGAGCTGATGAATAAAGGACAATACCTCTTCCTGTGCTCTGATCCTCTTTTAGGTCAATGTGTCCTGAGACTACTGTAGTTACATCAATATTACTTCAGCATTGAGGTTACTGTCATGTGCAGTAGGTCTGCTGGGAGGTTTACTGCTATGAGTAAGCGTCTTCATTCCCCTCACTCCTGTATCAAACAAAATCTGCCTGGTAGGAGAACAGCCTCCTGGTGGGGCTTTTACCTCTTGGGAGGCGAGCACTCTGCTTTGCTCTATGGACCCAAAACTCGTACATAGGTCAATGGCTGCTTTCTCAGAAGACACTTTCTCACTTATCAACAGTTCAACAAGGAGTGAAGGGAGATAGGAATACCTACAGGAGCCATTTTGGAGAAGTCACTGACCAAATCCTAAGGCATATGGATTTCTATAGGAATATTCAAGATATGTCCGGTATGAACTGGGGACACCACTAAAAAGATTCAGAAGTTTCACAAGAAAATATCCACAGTGGAAGGCTAAAGAGTATTTGCCAAATGTCTGTAAGGTTTAGGGTCACTTTACTACCAGCAAAGCTTGTTTGTTCTGAACAGTTCTATCAGTGATGACTTTACAGGCTTACTCCCCACACGTTTTTGTGTTTAAATGTTTAAATCTCCTGATCTTGCATTCCCCGACATGAACAGAATAGTGATAAAAAATAATGAGTATAGAATGAGCAGAATTCAAAATTACTACCTTTGCCTAGCGGTATTTGAATTAGACAGAGAAAATAGGTACAGCATATTAAACAAAGGTTAAGATGAATGAATGAACATGATGGACAATACATGGAAGAAAGCACTTGTAGTTCATGGAATACACGGCGCTGGCTGGGACCCCAAGCATCTCATGTCATTAGTATAATATAAGTCCATTAAACTAATTTAACTGTTTTACTTTCAGTCAATGTGGTTTTGTTACTGTTACTTAATCATCTGTCAACTATAAGTCTAAATAATCATCCCTCAGCTTCCATGAGTCTGAAAAACTCTTCGACCACTCTATAATTACAAATCTTGCAACTCTGCTTCTGTAAGACTACCTTTTAATTATTTTTGACAAAAACAGAGTTTCAGGCCATTACTTTCCCTTAATAATTTTTGCATCTTTTCTTGATTAAATCTATTTTGGCAAAAGGGAGAGACATGATAAAACCTGAATTATCTCAGCTTTTGACTGTTTACTGTTGGAATGGTTAACAGTTTACAAAAATCTCAAGGAAAATAGAATTCCATTAGAAATTTAATTATTGAATTTGAAACCAATTCATCATTGAATTTGAAATAATTTGAAATTTAATCATTCAATTAGTTACTAAAGTAGCTGAGATGAAAATCTGTATCAGAGTAGTTTTCCCTTCTCTTGTGTTAATTTTAAATCTCAACATGGTTTAATGGAAGCATCTAAGTGCCTTGGACATAAAACAGCATAGTTATTCAGGCAGTACGTTATGCTTTCCAGAGACATAAAATGGAAGTCAGTCACTGAGCCAAAGGGTGAATTCAGAAACTGGAAAAATAGACAGAAACTCACTATTCAGTCTTATCTAAGAACCTAACTAGAGTGGATGTGGTCTAAAATAATTCATGAAGGACAAAAATATATGTATATTTTAGGTCCATGGTACCCCCAAGGTAGAATATCCACTAGGACGACTGATGTGTTTTTCTTCCTAGGCACTACATTTGAGCATTTCCTTGCTTGTTTGTTGTGAATTGAGAAAAATGTATGTTAGTTCCTCTGGATGCTCTGGGACTAATATTTACAGAGCGTTTGAGATTATCACTCACAAGTTACTATAAAAAGTAATTATGAAGGACCCCCATTTTTTGGAACTCAGTGATCCCTGTGAAAGGAAGCACTGACTTTTTGTCAGTAGACTAGCAAGCAAGTTTGGAAGGTTAGATGGTTGCAGGTTTCAGTCCTATAGGATTCCTAAAATCCGAAGGACAGCAGCTCCTAACTTATTTCACAACCACTATAACTATTAAAGAACCATGTAGCACTTTAGCATCATCCTTCAAGATGCAGCCAGAGGAGGAGGTGATATAACTCACTGTTTGTATAGTTGTCTGGTGATAAAAAAATTGCACAGAGACCCTGAAATCAGAGCTTAGGTTTGAACCCTCAGACTAAGAGGGTTCAAAGCCACAGCTCCTATCTGCCATACAAATGCTCCAGATATGACGTTTTTGGTTAGGTTGAAAGGATCGTTTTCCACTCTCCTGTTGTCACAGTTAAGCTACGTGTGCAAGAATCCATGGGGAAAGAAAGAAAATAGGAGAAAGTGTTGCTATGTAGCCCCATGGTTAGAGCGCTTAAGTGGAACCGGGAGTCCTGGGTGCTGGGCTTTGCTCCCAATACCATTTAAGCGTTTTGTGATAAGCAGTCTTGTATAATACACAGAAATAATCCAGAACTGACCCATAAGAAATCCTGGTCCTGACTTAGCTGGTGTCATCCAAGTGGTTTGGATAATTGTATTACATACGCATCTCTCTATTATAAAGGACACGATACAGGATGATCTTCTCTGGAAGAAATAATTACCATACAAATTTGCCAATGGCTGTAACATATTCAGTTAATATAACCATATGACATGTCTTATTTTTTACATCCTGGTTAATCTGGTTTTGGAGAATAAGTTTTTAAAGACATTGCTTAGAAATATGCCTAAGAAGAAACACAGGCAAATATTTGTGTATTCAAACAGTTTGGAATTAATCTTGGCCCAAAGGTGTGGTTGGTTGTTGGGTTTGGGTTTTTTTGGGGGAGGGGGGATTACATAATTTCAATAATCACTCTGTAGTTTTGCAGCTGATTCCACATTTATCTGACCTTCCAGTGGAAAATTTTCTTTCTTCAGCCTATGTACAAATTTTCTCATATTGCTGCAGGTACTCCTGTTTGAACTCAAGCTCTTGGTGTGTAGTATGTTTCTAGAGGATAA